TCAAGAAAATATAACACTAGGCGAAAACCAAAAATGATTTTCAAAATGGAAAGATTATCATCGCACTTAATACCTACACATTATTAATCGTTTTTAATTAGTTACTTATAGATTCAGGAAAATATAGGGGACAATGTTAATTATTGACATCTGCATTACTAAGAAGTAGAGCGCGAATATTGTAGTGGTAAAAAAAATATTGAAATCGATTGCAGCATTGCACTAAAAACGAACAATTTCTTCTACAAAAATGGAAATAGTTGCTTAATTTTCGACATATTTACAAAACAATAACAGAACACGATCGCTCAAAATTCACGGAATGACCGAAGAACAGATTATAACAGTGCAAACAGTCACATTTCACAAGTTGCAAATGCAACAACATCCGTGCCCTACTAATAAGTAATAACTAAATATTTCTTCAGAATGTCTCTGCACAGTTAAAATATGAAACAGAATTACATGCCTTTATTTTATTCTTAAAAACTTCATAGATTTCAGCCGAAAATTCAGTTATACATCTTGGAACGCGATATAATACTTCAAATGGTCAAAAACAATCGCCCGTTTTAAGACATCGTAAAACAATTTGTAGTTTCATTTTAACAGATATGCTTTCTCTCATAACTGCGTCTTGCTTTTCAATTAAAGGCTTGCCATTTGATAAGAACTCTTCAGATGTGCTTCTGAAATCCGTAAGTGATTTTTCGTATTATCTTTATTTTTCGCAACCCATTTTTTTCGATGAGTTTGATGATATTCCCATTACATTGCGACAACTAACCCATGGTTTAAATCGCCAATATCGTTATTATTATTATTATTTTTTTATTAAACTTTTTGCATTTATTTATCAGATTATTGTAACAATTCCTGCACTAATAATTTCTCAAGAATTCACGTCTTAAAGAAACCTTACAGAATCTAAAATTTCAAAATTATATTATTACATTACAATACTATTAAAAAATGATGAAAATAATATCAAGATATTTTCATCCATAACAAACCGTATGAATAGTTATTGTTTTCATTTTAGATAATTCACTCTGGATGATTCATTCGAAATATTCACCACGGATTAACCGTGTAAACGCAGCTTAGTGAAAAATATCTAAGATACATAAAAAAAAAAATTAATTTTCCCAATAAGTTTGTCGGGAACATCCTGTAAATTCGTACATCACTACGCTGGACGCAATTCGCGCGTATTTCGTTAAACTTTATAGTGTGCAAGAGAGATTAACGGACATTTGATGTTGAGCGAAAAATAAGAAAAATCATCGCCGCATCAACCCCATTCCACTGGTGGTAACCCCATTAATCGTGCCCTGATAACGAACCTCCAAATCCGTCAATAAAAAAATGTAATAGTAATAACGTCTATTGATTATCGGTCGGTAAACACGGCAGAACGTTCGGGCGAACGCGTCGGACGGACTATTGGTCGTTTTTTTTTTTTCGGCAAAAGCAATAATAATATTACACTGGCCCAAACTACCGCATTAACATCATTGTCGTGCGTAAACAATAATTCAGTATTTGTAATGTGTTCATCTAATTTTCTCCCGCCTCCGCAGGGGTCCCCCCGAGCCAATTAATTCCGTACGAAACAGCTAATTGTCGTGACGCCAAACGGTCGCGCGCATCCCTACGAACAGACACCGAGAGGGGCGAGGGAGAGGGAGTGGAAGTTATTGGCAAAAATGTCGTAACGATAAAAATAACACCTCTATATATATATAAACATTTTATTCTCGATTTTAAAAGTATAATCAATTTTTTTTTTTTAAGCAACACAATCTAAACTTCGATAACGGGGGCTGACGGAAATTGAAAATGTCAACATTAACAGCTATTTAACCTTCATCTGTTAGTAGAATTTTCGATGTATAAGTTGTTTTTTGAAAATCAAAAGTGAGTAGTATGGTTTCGCCCCCAAGTATAACGGTAATGTAACATTTTAGAGCTTCATATTTTATAGGTTGTCAAAAAAAAAAAAAAAAAAAAAAAAAGAATCATCCGAATAAAGTAAATACTTTCTGAGAGGACACTTCTACTGCGTGTTATTTTGAGGATTGATCTGACTGTATACCGTTAAAATAACACTTAACGATTTCGGTTCGGGAAAAAGAACTTAATTTCTTAACTACACTTAATTGTTCAATGGATTAACGTTCGTTTTAATGAGCTTTATTTAGGTGTACGTCTCGAATTTTTTTTCGAATAACCCTCTGTAATCCGACATGAATCAATAATTAAACTTACCGTTGAAAATATTTAGGAAATAATTATAATTCCTAATTATAAAACCTTGTCCGGATAGAGCTACCACGACTCGTACTATAGGAAATAATATGTATTTTAATTTACCGCGTTGTATTCAGTTCGGTTTAAATAGTTAAAAAATGATCTAGATAAAGTTAAAAGATAATTTCTTAAATATTTATCAGAATGAAGATCAAAATCGAATTAACCAAGATAATGATAAAAGATAAATGCATTTTGAACTAGATAGAAAAAAAATGAACACATTTTTATGTTGCGTTACAGCACAAAGATAAGGGCGACTGTCCAAATCTATGGATTTTTTTTTAAACTCAATTAAAAAAAGTTAACTCGAAATCAAAAGTTACTTTCAATTTTGTCTGCAAATTAACTCGTTATGTTAAAATGGTAAAATTAAATTCACTTTAATTTAATTTACACTTACGAATTTGTTCGTTTTCAACTGTGTCCTATTGTTGGGCTTGTTGAGTAGTATTGTGTGTACATTCAACTTGATTCGGTGCGGTAAAGAATTATTGACCTTAATTTAACGGCATTCACAAGTCGCTGAAGATTAAACAAGCAACTGGGAACAAGGAATTGTACAGGCTTGAATTAAACGTAATTGAACAACGTGACTTTCGTACACAAACACAGTATGTATAATCAATGATATTATTTATTCTTAAAATCGATACGTTTACGTTCGAACAATGATCCCGGTTGTTTAATATCTGTCATAAAATATATAATATAAAAAAAACCTATCTAGAACAATATCGATCTATTATACATAGGTTAATTAAATATTTATCTAAAATAAATATCCAGTCGACTCGAAATTATTCATCTAGATAAGATAAAAGGCGAAATGTCCCCAGATAAAAAATCGAACGTTCGCGCTTAAAATATTAAACGCTCGCGTATTCCACGATATAGTATTCCGTTTCTGTATTAAATATTCAAAGAAGATATTTTCCATTTTGCTCGCGGTAAAGGTAACGGTTTGTCGACTTTGAAAACCGCCGTCGTCGAAAACATTAACAACTGTTACGCTTCGTAGCGTCTAATTCGAAATATATTATTTCGTAGTCAGTATTTCGAACGAAACGACCCGGACAAAGGTATTTATAGTATATAATAATAATAATATAACCCGCAAAATGCGATTTCGTATATTATACGGTTTGTTCCCCGTGAGGTTCCTGGGCAGACAAAACAACACCTAGGTATCAAAACAGTTTACCTGCCCAAAACGTAGACCACTATTATAAGACATGTACTGCGTACCATAAATAGTAGTGTGCATCGTTGCCGATTTGAAGTTTGAAGTCAAAACATTATAACAATACGTTTACTATAAGCCTGTCGATTACAAATATTACGGCAATATTATTATGTGATTTACCGAAGGGCCCGACGAATTATTATTAATGGCCGACAGGTAAACTGTACGTAAAACAATTAATACTTCACTACCGCCGGAACATAAACAGCCGACCCAGAATCGACGAACGAAAACCGAAGGGATCTGTGCGCAAACGTATAATTTAACATATTACAACACTAGTAATCTGTTAAAATTCGTTTTAAACGTTTTCTGATAAAGGCAATACAAATACGTGTATATCTGTAAAAGAACGATACAATTTCAATTTCAAACGTATATTGGAGCCATCTGGGTTTTTTCCCGTCGAAAAAACATTAGCTCCGGAAAATATCCGTGAAAAATTATTTATTCGTTTTTATACTAAATAATTTTTACAGTGAATAAATATAAAAATAAAAAAAAAAGTGTGTAATAGGTAGTCATTAGTTAGTGGTTCTATGCGAAAAACTAGTAATCTTTACAAAATTTGAATAATTTCCATTCAAATAAAATAAAATCTATATCTCTATGTACTCCATCATAGAAGATAAATCTGAATACTGGGCAATACGGCCGGAAGATTATAATCAGAAATTACTAAATACAATGCCGATGCGCTTAGCTATAACAATGACAAGAGAATAAGCTGGACGGGTCATGCATGTCGCGCACAAGGACTGCGACTATAATATTATCACTATCAAGTGATGGACGCCACAAAACAAAGTCCGCTAGACCGTCCGAGACAGAGATGGGCGAATAGAGTTCGGAAAGTTTAAGAATGTAGATATGCTTGGAATAAACAATGAGGGATGACAGCTGATAGAGATCAAAGGAGGGGAGTCGTGGTCGCAGCGAAAGGAACAAAATATGGTCTATAAGTGAAATAAAATTTTCAAAAAAATGCAATAGTAATAACAATCGTGGTTAAACGCGTGAGACTGAAAAATGCTAACATAACACGTAGTATGATGATCGCGTGAGTTTATATAAGTTTCGCAATTTAGAATAGTGAGGTGGACCATTTTTAAAATTATATAGAAAAGGGTTTACGAACTTAACTTAGCTTTGACTTATTTGCAACGGGAAGGTAGAAGTAAAAATAAAATAACCACAAGTTTATAGTATTGTCTTACATTTAAAAAAAGACAATTAATAAATAATTGGTAGATAGAATTAATTATCGAGAAAATTGAAATTAACGTTATTTACAAATCCTTTGAGATCAGCTATGACATATGGTTGAAATACATGGGGTGTTACGAAAAGTAATCAGTTACCAGACACATATTCGGATCCACTTACAACATGGAAACGAGAAGTTAAAAAAAAATACGTAATACTGACTTGTAAGATAGTTATGGGAGACCGAACATTCTATCGTTTAACAGAATCAAGAGGACAGAATTGTGCTCGGTCATGTATGGAGGGCAGGAGGAAAACAATCAAACGAGTAACAGAGAGTAGAATTAATGGAAAAGGACTACAGGTCTTGTTAAAAGACAAGACTTTCTGGAAAGCGCCAAACAAGATGGATGGACGTCGTGATAAAAGACCCAGAAATGGTCCACGGAAACACACAATTAAACGATGCGAATTATAAAAACCGATGGAACGCAGCAATCGGTCCTACACGTAAACGGAGCGAAACAAATATTTTTTGTATCACATTCCCAAAAGTATTATTGTCGATATGAGAAGAATATTGTACACAATACTTTATTAAAAAAAAAAAAAATTTTAAATTTATTTTAAACACTCATTAAATACATTTAATACATTTAGTGCCTCGGTAGTATTCTCGCTCATGTAAGTAATGTAAAAACTATACAAAAATGAGGCCCAGGGGAGGGAAGTTTTTACATCCATTATTATTATTCCATTATTATACCACTGGTTTATGTTTTTTTTTTTTTTGGTAGGTATTTAGAAGAATACAAAATTTAACATTATGAAATATTTGCTTTTCATGTTTTAGGTATCGTATTATAGTTCAGTGCGGAGAAACAATGTCTAAGTACACGACAAACGCGGGACGATATCTGAAAAGTCACGACATTACGAAAACAATACGTGGCGTCGTCGTAGGTATGGGGAGAGTAGCAAAAAAGTTTCCGGATCACATACCGCACACGCTGTACATTTTAAATGTACTATTAATACAAATAAAAGCGTATAATATTATACTTATGCCGTGGAGAAATTTGCGAAAAAACGATCCGTCTCTTTGACTACCTACTAAGTACAACGATAAATATTCAGGGCTCTTGAACAATGTGATTTGAAACGAGTTTTATTCTATCACCGGCAATTTAAAAACGCAGAATATAAGATGACAAAAAAATGTGAATGTTTTTAAGGAGCGAGATGCTGACCAACATTTTAAGTGCTCGTTGGCCACTACTATCGATTATATGTAGTAAAGAAGGTTTAATGGCGACAATCGATATTTCAAACAAATTGCTGCTTTTGGAATAGGAAAGAATACTGAACAGAAGAAAATAAAGTAAATGTTAAAAGATAATCACGACATCCGTCGCCTTGTTGAATAATATAAAACATTTAGACGAAATTAACTTATCGTGCAAAACTAAGAGTATGAAAAAGAGCCGATAATATTGACGGGCGTGTCTTTGTTGCGGGTGGAAAATTAAAAAGGTGGAAACTACGTTTGATTAAAACGTGAATTAGAGTGATTTGAAATATATCTGTACGCAAAGATAAATGATTCTTAACGAACAAATATTCTAACCGGAATCGGGTTGCACGTGTATTAAAATAACGCTGTACATTTTACGATTTTTATTCAAATTTGATGTTATATCGCTTATTAAAATAAAATACAACATAACGTCCAATCAACGTTTCTTTTTTTACCTATAAATACAACCTATAATGAACATTGTTTTAAATTTTTAAGAAACTCTGTCAGGTCAAAATATAAAAATCCACGTAATACGTACCAAATAAAACTTACAGAATGTATAATGCCTATAACTATAAGAATCTTACAGTGACGGTTTCAAGTTTCTGTGAATATTTTTAAACGATTCTCAACGAAAAAACATAATTGAAATCTATAAACCCGTTATTTCCGTAAACTTTCTTGGTTTTATAAAGTTTTTACACGGTTCGGTCCAATTATTATAGAAACTGCTTGGAAAATCAAAAAATGACATTGTTCAAGTACCACCCCCGGAAAATTCCCGTTCATGACATGAGCTTCACTTGAAAATCTGAGCAAGATTTCTGGTAGAAATGTTGTGCTGCACAGTATATATAAATATAAACAAAATAATTAAAAATTAAACATCATTGTAAATCGGACTACATTCACAACCTAAAAACAGAAATTACTAATATTTCTAGATTTCTGTCTGTGGCACGTGTTATAATTAAGCACAGAAAAGCACAAAACCAAAAAATAATCAGAAAAACTAGAAAAAAAAGCGATTTTTTTAAAATCCTTCGAAATAAGTCAAAACAGTACTCAGATTTCAAATGTCATATTTGAGATTATTGTAACATGACTTGAGTTTTCAAAGTACTTTACTAGATTTTATGCTGAGCCGAAACAATTAACAAATACCTGAAGTCCCGAACCCTGGACGTAGGTAACATGCGTAGGTATAGTAACACGGTAATGTATAAATTATGAACTAATTTAAACCTCAGTTAAAAACTCAAGGTAAACTAAACTAAGATATGCTTTTGATAGTTAAGTTGTTTTCACAAAAAAATAAAAAATAAAATAGTAATACATAATAAAAAAAGTATACTAATCATAGTAGAGCCAATACATTCCACCAAAACGTATATACTTATATTTCTGAACTGATTAAGCGTTGCCTGATCAACATTCTAGTGGACAGCGAATAATCGAAAAGGATTTAGATTTCATTGCAGTTTGTCGAGCACACAAGGTCGAGAAAAATTATTTTTCATACGGTTTCGACGTTGATGAGGCTTACACAGAATGATCAACGAAAATGCCGGCAGGGATCATTGGTGTACTGCGCAATGATAGTAATGTAAATGTCGTTAACGTTCCACATTTTTTTCACGAGACGAAATAATTTCCGATCGCTCTGTATGATGTTTGCGTTTTATTTACCGTTTGGGCCCTCACAAACAAAACACAGACAAAAAAAAAAAAAAAATAAAACCCGAGCACTTAGATTTCGAACCGGAAAAACTAAAAAAAAAACCCACGGCATTTACAAATAAACAAATTGGATGGGAAAATATTTCGGCATCTCGAATAATCCCGAAGTTCTCACACGGCCCGCGTGCACGATTCGATTATAATATATAGGGGCTATATATTAAAAAAGGCGGATGAACTGCACGTGCACACTGTATACACAATTATTTTTATGTCGCATCCGTAGTCGGTCCAATATATAGTTCGTTGCATGAAATGAAAACCGTTTTTTAAATTCCGAGCGTAGCTAGGGAGCTATTGGTTTTACAATGCTATTTAATTATTTTTCTTTCCGTATTCGTACTGGCCTATGGGCACGTATTTTCCTATTAGACTCGCTCCGATTTTTACGCGTAACAACTTTTATGAAAGCACAAGTTGTCTTGATTGTACATTATAAAAACCATTTTTTTTATTTTATTTTTGACGACATTTTTAAAATAAGAGCACTTCAGTGGTGAAAAAAACGCCGTAAAACGTACAATTTCACGATTACATTGTTTTAGAAAAACGCGGATAACGTTTTCTACCAGAAAAAATAATTTAATCGAAAAACCACAATATACCTTTTTTGTTTCCTGTTTTATTAAACTTCTTACGGGATTATTTCTAAGACTTTTGAGCCACTTTTGAATTTTTAAGGAATTTTATTTTTTTTTTACTGTTTTTTTGCTTTAATTCATCTATAGATACATATATAGACTTGAAACTGGGTAATAACAGTTATATTGGGCTTTCCTAGACGTGGTAATTTTCAATATAATCGGACGACTCTCTTTTTATTTTTTTTTTTTTTTAATAAACGTTTTGGAATCAAATTTAAACGAAAATCGCAAAAAAAAATATTAGGATATTTCGTAGTACAGTAGCTGCTCCTATCCCCCCAGTATCAGCTCTTAAAAAAAAAGCTTTTAAAATTTAAAAAAAAAATTGTATATTGTGAAATAAAAACCGCGATGTGGAAATGTTAAAATTTAATACCCGTGAATTTTATTATCGTTATTATTTTTTTTTATTTTGAATTCGCGTTCAGCTCTTTGAGAGTGCGGAACATAATCGAAAATGGCAAAAAAGCCAAATCCTATAGTGAATGAAAGTAAAGGATGGTCCGCAAAAGTAGAGGCGGAATTCTCCGAGTCATGATTTAGGTAGAAGTACACATTATTTTGTTCATGAATCAGTCGGTTTATGAGGTGAAATGAAAATGTCGACATGGGTTTATGTTGTAGGCACTTATATACTCGAATATTTAAATTCGGAACGGTTTATTACTATCGGAAACATTCCCGAATTCGCGGTTCGCCAATCCGCATCATTTTGCCATCAATTAGGAACGAAAATATTCAACATAGTATTATACATACTTAACCCTACTTTCTCCCATTTTTAGGAACACGAGAATTTATTTACGCCGACTCGTCTATAGCCCGTTTTTTTCTTTTTTATTACATGTGGAAAGATTAGTGTATCCGACAAGAAAATACTGCGAACCGAAAGTTATTGTTATGTGTATCTCACATAAGTGTTTGTGTGGTACCGCAATGATAATGCGTTCCTAAAAAGGTAATAATAATATGCACTATGGGTCGAAGTGCACTACACATTATAGATAACTACGTGTAAATGAAGGGTACAGAGAAAAAACGAGAAAAGTCAATTCCGTTTCAAACTGAGAAAAATTCGTTTTTAATTTTAAACTAAACAATTTTTTTTTTTCCAAAGTAAAAAGTTCGGATTAGGTTTAATGTTAAACTTTGAAATGCAGTAACTACATCATAATAATCTTATATTGTTAGCCAAGGCGATAGCCGGTACGAATGTTGGAAAAGTTCTTTTTAAAAAGAAACTCGATCCCCGTTCCTCGTTTCTTAAAAAAATAAACTCGTACATTTTTTTTTTTTTAGTATTTGTATAAATATGCATATTACATATTTATAAAAAAAATATACCAGGGACGAGTGCAGCTACCGTTGTGGGCGGAAAGTTGTGAAAGTAGGGTGAATAAAATTGGAAACTATTCTTACTTCTTAGAATCTACATGTCCTAATAAATTTAAGAAAACTAATTTCCTAGTTCCTACCATACAAAAGAACAAAAAAATATTACACTGACATTTTGTTTTGTCTAAAGGCTAATTTTCCTAAAAAACCATCGCTTAAAAACGACAATTCTTTTTACAGTCATGACATGACACGAAAAATTTTCTAAACAATATTATCACTAAAACAACGTGCATTTCATTTTATTTTCCTAATAGAAAGAACGTAAATCCGCGCATACGAAATTTGCCATCGACTTTTGAAAGAAACGCTCCACTTTGCTCTGCGACTCGATGAAATGCGTTATCGCATTAAATAAATAGCGAACGTTTTCGATTTTATGCCAACAAATTAAAAAAT